TTTCACATAAATTCCAGGGCACCGATCCTACAGAAGTAATACCATTGTTGAAAACACAGTATCCCAGGGCGCCTGTTGGCAAATTTGTCAATGTGATCAGTTCAGGCAGTTTGATGGACATCTGTGGTAGGGGGATGACATCAGTGATGATACAATTTGACGTGAAGTTGTATCCCATAGTTACCATGGCTAGTCGTCTGTGTAAGTCTGTGTGCATACCCTTCACCTTTCTGGATAGTGGCGTTGTATAACTTCGTTTTGCCCAGCTGCTTGTTCCTGGGTGGGTGCTCAGACCATATAGACATGCTTGTTGGGCTGTAGACACAGCTGCAGGTTGCAAACCTGAATTGTGGGTGGCATAGGGTAGATGAGCACATACATAGCAATTAGTAGTCTTTCCTTCATAAGCGGTTTTGTTCATCAGCTGCCACCATAGGTTGGTGCTGTAGTCATGAGGGTGTTCTAGATCAGGTTTTAGCAAATCAGTGAGGTCACCTCTGACTACGTGACATGCTATAGCCATAACACAACAGAGAGTCCACCTTGGCTGTGATGCTCTCATTGTTGTTAGATATACAGAAATGTTAGGAACTCTGATGTTCCTGTTCAGGGCGTAGGGCTGGGGCAGATTGCTGCACACAGCATTGGTTTCTTCACTGACGTCGAGATAACACACCCTAAACGGTGTGTCCTCTTTGTGGTCAGACTTTTTCAAACACCCTGGTCGATTTAAGAGTCTAACACTTTCTGCAACTTTCAAAGGCTTATGATGGATCCAACTGGGTTTTTTCCGCTACCTTTACAGCGTTTGGTGTGGTCAGTAGGATTTGGTGCGGTCCCACGTTTTCCTTTTGATGACCTTAATAAAGACCAAAAACTGCTGGCTGGATTGATGTTTTCTGTGGAAAGAGGAGATGGAGACAGTAAAATTGTTCTTTTTTTTCTTCTATATATAAAAATGCATATTAAGATACCTCTCCCGTGGCACATGACAAACATCATGGGTCAAAAAACAGTGGTATTATTATCTAATGTATATTAATGGATGCAAAGCTCCATTGTAATAATAAAGTACAACCTATAAAAATATAACATAGTGCATTTGTGGCAGTTTACATTTGTGTTTAGGAATTATTTAGGTCATATTTGGAGCTTTAAAATATCATGAATCATTTCCATTACAAGAATTATTGACCATCTGATTGTGAATCAGCCACCTCGTTGATAACTTTCTGTTGTCATGCCGGGGCATTAGTTGGCGCTGTGATTTTGTATTGCTGGTTAACGCGCATGCGTGTTGTCGCGGCTTGCACTTCCTGTTTAGCTAGCGTTTAGCTAACTCCGCTGGTAAAAAGTGACGGGGCAAAAACTGGATCCTGGCTGGATTTGTGGGGGAAAAGTCGACTTCTTGACGGCCACCAGAACCGTTTTGTTAAAAAAAAAGTTCACAGCGGCCGTTGAATGGAGAAGGGGTTCTCTGCAGATCAAAAGTGGGGGTTTCTGGCAAATAGGCGTTTGTGGGTGGCGAACACTGATTGGCTAACAGTATTTAATAGGCGTTTGTAGGGGACGAACTTAAACTTAAATTTTTTTAAGACAGTCTTCATTTGTATTGTTTTGTCGACCAAGCTAAATGTAATTTCTAAAATATGGATAAATCTGATCTCATCATGCAGCATAAGCAACTGGGTATAGGTGTGAGGGCCAAAAGTCTGGTTATGTACTGACTCCTAAATGTGCTAGTTTTCTACTTTTTTTTTTTTTTGCTGCTCCTTTCTTTAATGTGGGCAAATCTAAAACATTGTCACATGAACAAATGAGCTAAAACTGGCTCTTTAAGTAGCTCAATCAGCTCTTATTTAAAACTGAAGATTTTTAAGAAACAGCGTTAACTCTACTGTCAAACACAAGAAGATTCTCTTTTGGCCTTGGGTTGTAGGCTGCACCTGACACAGGTTGGCTTGAGTCTGGTCTGGATAAAATGAAATATGAAGCATCTGAAGCGAAACCTGCTCCCATTTGTCCAAAAAGTCTGGTCTCAATTAAAGATCATGAGTCCTATGACGGGCAGCACGGTGGCGCAACTGGTAGAGCTGCTGCCTCTCAGCGAGCAGGTCCTTGGTTCAAACCCCGGTCCAGGGGCCTTTCTGGGTGGAGTTTGCATGTTCTCTCCGTGCATGCGTGGGTTTTCTCCGGGTACTCCGGTTTCCTCCCACAGACCAAAAACATGCATGTTAGGCTGATTGGTAACTCTAAATTGTCCCTAGGTGTGAGTGAGAAAGTGAATGGTTGTTTGTCTCGTTTGTCTCTATGTGGCCCTGTGATGGACTTGCGACCCATCCAGGGTGTACCCTGCCCCTCGCACAGTGATTGCTGGACATGGGCACCAGCGACCCCCGTGACCCAAAATGGAATAAGCGGGTAAAGATAATGGATGGATGGATGGAGTCCTATGACGAGATAATGACCCAAAACAAACGCTAAAAACAAAATTTACTCTTTAGAAGTGCTCTTCTATGAGATCTGATCTATGAAAAGAGCTGAAACATGGAGTAGGGTTGACCCTTAAAATGTGAGACAGCTGAGGAAGTTAACCAGTAAACAGAAATACCTGCTCCAGTTGCAGAAATCTTACAGAAACTGACAATCACTCATCTGCAGTGACTGCAAGTTGAACAAGAAAATGTGAAGTTAAAGGAAACATCCTTTGTCCCAAGGCCAGTTTAAGTATCATTAATATTTTTCTTTATGAATCGATTGTAACTTTATTCACATTTTTCATCAACCAAAATGGAATTTGTTTTTTAATGTTACGGCTAGGTATTTAAAAAAACTAACAATTAGCCCTCCCCACTACCCAGTTATGTTGCTCTTATTTTGAAATTTAACCGGAAGTTCTGTGTTAAGAGAGGCAGAAAAAGAAGTTATGGAGACACCGCTAATGTTGAACTGAGACGCCGCCAATGTTGAACCTGAGACACCGCTAATGTCGAACCGGTTAACATATAGACACAATATGCCTGTGGTTAACACAATCTGCCTATAATGCCTTGTTTTTAGACATAATGTGTCTGTGGTTACGGCATTTTATCGTTCAGCCTTTCATTCTATCGTCCAATCAGATGCGGCCGGCCAGACACGCCCATTTTCCTATAGTCCAATCAGATATGACCACCCAGATACGCCTTCCGAATTTGCCTGCAGAGATACCTACTTGGTTGAATGGACCAAAACCGAGCCTCTGTACGGGTCGTTTAGTCCAGAAAGGACGTTTTGAGAGGGGGAGATGTTGGATGAGTTATATAACTAGAAAACTTTAGTTTATCTTGTACACAAAAAATACTGTTTATATTTATTAAACTGTTATTATTTAGCACATTTTTAGTATGTTTTAATGCAGCGCGGTGTGTGTGTGCGTCAGCTGGTTCTGTTTACACAGTCGAGTTAATAGCTTTGGTCATAACGTGTGTTAGAAAATAAATAAAGAGAAGAGAAAAAGAAAAAATCAGGAACACAAAATAGTGGAAAGTAATCAGTAAAATCATAATGATCAGTAAACTTACAGACAAAGAAAACAAAAGTATTTTAGCGCTTTTCCTATGCTTTAGTGGGTATTATCTTTTGTCTGACAAACAAAGCCGCAGTTTTCGTTTTTTAGATCCAAAAAATCACTTCACCTAAACAACAATCTTAATGGAGGTTGTAAGCAGACCTGCTTCAGGTCCCGTCTGTTAGTACAGTCAGGTTTCAAGGATTTTTTTTACAGAATCAGCTTGTCCTCCTAAACATACACACACAGACAGACAGAAGTTTTGCACGTGTCTTAATTTTTTTAGAATAATGCCGGCTTATGAGTCTCACTCAAAGTTTTTAGAAAAGATCTTGACCACAGTCTCACTTTTATGTTTTTTGTCAATTAAGATCTTGATTTTTAGAAAGTCTCACTTTTGTTTTCAACTGTAAAAAAACGCACTTATTAATAAGGATTTGATTATACGTTATACTTATTTGGAATGAAAGTTCTTAACTCCTAAAATCTCACTTATTAAAAGAGGTCTTGACTCGTTTTACTTATAGCGTAAGAAATAGTCTCCGCTGGTTAAAACCAAAATATTATGACAGAGTACTCACGTCGCTGTTTGTGTGAAAGAAATCTGGTTTTCCGTCAATCTGCTGCTGATGAGGTCCGCGACGGACGCAAGACTGGCCTGGCTGGGAACTTTGAAAGCCCACCAGGGCTTTTTGGCTCCACCGTGCACACGGGTTTTTTCAACGTGTCCGACTGAAACTGCACCAGCAAAACAGATATGTAGGAATCCGAGGTCACGGCTCCAAAATAATAGGTATTTTCTGTTTAACCTTTAAAGATAATTAACTACACACAACAGAGAGGTGGTTTTTTAGCGCTCAGTCCCCTTTGATCAAAGGTGAGAGTCACCGACTAGGTCAGAGTGAACTCTCCCGTTTTGCTGTGTGAGTCTGTATTTGTTATGAAAAAGTGGGGCATGAAAACAGGTCAGGTTCACATGTACAAAAATCTTATCAGGATGACGGTCAGAACATTTCAGAAGATTTAGCTTGTACAGATAGTTTCTTGATAAAACGTCCACTTGATGTAATTCAGAACTTTCCAGAAACTTACACACAGCAAGATATAAACTGAACCAAAATAAAACTTTTGTTCTGTACATGCAGAAACAAATATTAATATGAGATAGAAGCTATTTAAAAAATTATAAAATAGAACAACCCTAACACATGTAATTTTCATCCTTCTGTCTGGATGTCTTTTCTGTGTAGATCTGGAACATGTTGAAGAGGTTCAGCCAGTCAAAGTTTAACAGTTCTGGGGACTGCATATGATTTTATACACCCTTTTTTGTTTGTAAAATTAAAGCATTTTTTAATCTGAACAGCTCCTGGTCTGCGTTTCCAGAGAAAGTTACCCATATCTGATCTTTATATAAACCTAATGCAACCCCTTTATCATTCTCACTAAGGCATCTCCCTATCCTCTGATCCTGTCCCTGGAAAACCACTGCTCCATTGAGCAACAGACTGTAATGGCTCAACACCTGCGATCTATCCTGGGAGACAAGCTGCTCATCAAGCCCCTCAAAGGTCTGGATTCCTGCTACTTGCCTTCTCCAGAGGTAAATCATGGGGAAAACTGGACCAAGGTTCAGTAATGTGGGAGAACTGTCACATCTGTAGATACTAGCAGGGACAAAGATCATATTTGTCCGCTGAACAAAATGTAGCTTGGTCACATAGTGCCTGTTTTTGTTCTGGCTAGAATAAGAACATTGACAAATGTAGATGAACATATATCTGTGATATATTCATAAATTAAACGGATTCTTTCATTTTTCTGGACTGAATAATATCGTGCATTGAATAATTAAATGTAACGTGAGACGTTAATTTTCTTTGACCCATCAAATGAATGCGGTCATTTATTAACAGAATCAAAGTTTAACATCAAACATTTACATTAATTTGGCAAATTGATTTCAACAACAACATAATTAATTAGCAAGTTTTACAACTAGGAAACCATACGGCCATGATTTCCCTTGCAACTTTAACCCAACAGACATTTCTGAAAATATCTGGATGAATTACTGGCAAGATGGAAGAGTTTTAAAGATGGAAATGAAGTTTAAATGGAGAGGAAAAGATGGATGAGTGAATATGTATCGGTATCAGAACGGCACGCTCCATTGGATCTCAGCTTCCCCCTCGGTACACTTAGGTAGTGTAAATCGACTCTTTACCTGTAGGAGGTGTCTCCACTGGTACGGAGTTCCATTTAACGCACCATTTCAGCGTCTCCGTAGGAACAGCTATGAATCGTCCGAAGTAGTGACGGTATTCCGATCGACACACGTTCACCCCACTGGTGGACTCACAAGAGGAGTAAGTCCGTCAGAGGCTCCACTCAGATGTGGAAGATTTCATAATTCCCACAAGACTCGGAAGAACTGCGGATCATGTCTGAACCTCCTGCTCTCTCCAGCACTTCTTCTGTTAGGTTCTGCTCTCCGAACTGAACTGCTCTCCCACCGCACTCGACTGGTTGGAACTAGGAAGTGCCGACATTTAAAGAGTTCTGTTTCCGGTTCATTTGGGAAGTCCTGATTGGTCGATCGACCGAACAGGGGGTGGGTTTTTGTGACGTAAGAGGTCACTAGAAGTCAGAAAAACAGAAAAATTGTTTTGGAACAAACAGAAGATGTTTTTGAGACAGACGAGAGAAATGTTTAGGCGAGTTGGGGGAAAACAGGTGCCAGCTTCTCTATTTACGTCTGAGAGGATTTAAAAACATGACAGTTCGTTCCAACAAACTGGTTTGCGCTTGTCTCCAACCTTGGACCAACTTACACTTGCTCATTTCAGACAGAAAATCAGAAAATGCATAATTCGTTTGTAACACATTTTAACTTGATTTCTACTTTGAATGAGGATTAAAAATTCATTAATACTGTTTCACAGTTGATTTAAAATGAGTAGTTCACTTCAACATTTAAAAATGGTTTGAACTAAACACACTTTGATTATCAAGACATTTGTAAGATAGTAATGATAATAGAAAAAGAGAGTGTTCTTTCAATTGATCAGTGCAGGACACTTAGAAAGTCTCTGGATGAACTTAATCTTGTGTTTCTGGACTCAAATCAATGAAATACAGTTCTTGTCCCAGGAAGGCCCTCAAGGCCAGATTTGACCTGAGGCTTAGTTCACTACACAAATGACTTGAATTAAACTTCAGTGTGCAACAATAACACCTAGAGGGTAAATTAAATGCATAGCAGCAGCAAACAGCATTTTAAATATTAGCTAAATAACTGAAGTTGTTGAAAGAACATAAGCAGGTTGACTGTCAGCGTTTTGTACTCTCCATCAGTCATTTCACAATTAAATTCAACACAAATGTGTTTAAATCCTCTTTTCATTTTTGCATTCTTGTGTTTTCAGCCTTGTAGATGTTTTGATAGAATCAGATTTTTAAATCAGAATCAGAAGAATCAGAATCAGAATAAACTTTATTGGCCTTGCACCGAGATACAACGCAAATATGTACGTACAGTCGTCCGAAAGATGGGCGGAGTGCATGAAGCTGCAACTATAGAAAGCGCGGCCTTCTTATCCTTTTCAGATAATAATCTTAGATAGGAAAAGGGAGAGAAACATGAGGGTAGATAGTGGTATTACAAAAAAAGATCTTTCACATCTTGTCTATCAGGACACGATTTGAGACATCAAAAAAACTCTACCAGCAAGCACAATTAAAACATGATTACATTTGCATTTGACATCAAGGTGTTGAGATTTGTCCATGAGCGTTTTTTCAGATCAGCCACAGTTTCTGAAGATGTTGTTTCAGCTAGCAGTTCTGATAAGCTTGCACAGAAAGTTATCGGGGGGGTGGGGTGGGGGGTGGGGTTGCAATAGATGAAGCTTTTGTCCTTTTGTCCTTGGTTACTCATGACCCAGGAGAAATTTGATAGTCGGCCCGTCTCCGATGCCGTCGGGAGTCAGATTTAGATATGCTTGATTCTTGTTTTTCTTCTGGCAGAGATTACTTTTTTCCAGCCTTGAGTCCATCTGGGCGTTCTGGTTCCGAAAATGCCTAATTGTGGGATTCCATTCCACTGATCCATGCTATGAGTCTCCTTCAAGGTCAAACCCACTACGCTGACGAGTCCCAGAAGCCGCAGGTGGCTTGCGATTCTCATAAATTGCCTCCACCTTACGGTTAAGCTCGTAAACCGGATGATTTAAAGTTCCTACTGCACGGACCAAACCTTCACACTAACTCGGAAGCTTTTCCATGGCCGAAACTGCTGCCGATGTCTTCTTCAAAAGTCGATAAAACAGAGCCCCGCCGATGTCAAAAAGCAGAGTCCCTGCTATCATAATTCCAAATATGTAAACGTCTGCAACATCCTTCTGAGACAGAACTGAGAGGCAAATCAACTGCCACACTCCCCACGAATCCATGACGTACCCCACAGTGTGAGTCTCAGCTGGACACGCCGATTCTCCAGGACCTTGTCGTTTTGATGAAAAAAATCTTATCTTATAAATAAAATTAACAAATGGATTCTAATAAAAAGTTGGGTTGCTGCATTTTTGTCCTGTCACTGTGAGCTCTCTGGGTTTTATTTTTCTTTTGTGTGTGCATGTTTTTATGATTTCTGGACCTTAGTGTTTTTTGGATTTTCAGTTTTCAGTTTACTGTATTATTTTTTTCCCCCAGTGACTTCCTCTCATGTAGTACTTCCTGCTCTTGTTCTCCCTCACCTGATCCTCAGCATTTTATCCCAAGTGTTTTTAATTGTTCAACAATTTTCAGTCAGGTCATCTGGACAGTTTCTTTTTTTGTTGTTGTTTTTTGTGCTGAAACGTTTCACCTTCCATCCAAAAGGCTTCATCAGTCAAGGAAACACACAACACAAAACTGATTCTTCCCCCAACAGCTTACTCTAAAGTGGAACAAACCAGTTATGGGATTTACTTGTCTATTTGTATCTGTATTTCTATTTTATGTTTTCCTGTCCGCTGTGCATGTTTGTTTTCTTTTGTACAGCACTTTGGTTGGCCTTGTTGCTGTTTTAAGTGCTCTATAAATAAATTGGTATGGTATGGTATGGTCTAAAGAAAGTTTGAAAAATGCTGGTGCTATGATGGTCTCTTTGATACGCCCCCTCTTCCGGTGCTGTCCCTCTTCCTTGTCGACAGTCATGTCAAACTGGTTCAAAACCAACAAAGTCAATGCTCAATAATCCAGGTATACAATCCAACAATGTTTCAGTCAGGTCATCTGGACAGTTTCTTTAAATAAAAAAAAAAACTAGAAACTGTCCAGATGACCTGACTGTAAATTGTTGGATTGTATATGTTGGATAAATTAAAAAATGTTATCATTTAAAACTGTTTTAGACTTCTTACTATTTTTCTTAAAACTCCAGCCATGTGAACTGAAGCCCAGCTGAAACACAAAACATCCAGAGTTTTGTGTGCAGCTGGTGTGTTCGTACTAAGACCACAGACCTTGGGTTTTTAAACAACCATGGCTGTTATTTAGTTCTGACCTTGCTATACTGCTATCCTGTCTTCGTATCAAACTGTTTGTTAGTTTAATCATATTTTGTGTCTCCGCTGGGTCGGAGAAGTTGTATCTGTTGATTTGTGCCTTGTTTCCCACACCCCCCTCCACCTAATAAAAATACGAGCGTCACAGTCAGAACGTCGGACTTCTTCGCTTGACGTTTGGTCAAGTAGAACTCCCACCTCTGCAGAGGATTATTTTAAGAAACTTACGCTTGTCTTCTGTGAATTCTTTACAAAGGTGTTACGAGGAAAAAACCCTTTCAGTATACCTGAATTATTGAGCATGGACTTTGTTGTTTCTACTTGTCTCTTGTTAGTGTTCCCTTTATATTTTTATCTGTCCCTTGTATGTGCATTAAATGGCTCTTTCTAGTGTTCCTCCGTGAAAGTCTTTGTGAGCATTTTCTTTGCTGCCATGTCAGCTCGTTTTAATTTAATAACTATTTTTTGCTTCTAATTTTACCTCGAGCTTCTCCTGAGTTTTTGTCTGCACTCTTGGGTTTTAAATTCATGATAGTCGCGCAAAAGAGGGGGAATTGGAAATACTCTCTCTTTGTCTGTCCATGCATTTTGTGAATATGATAACTTGAATTAAGTGAGATGTCATCTTCCATTTTGACCAGATGAACTTCCAGCTTATTTCTTAAGGTTGGTCTCTCATATCATCACAGTCCCTGTGACCCACATCTTTAACTTGTCCATAAGTAAAAACTCCATCCCAGACGCTTGGAAAACAGCCTTTGTTCTACCTTTGCTGAAGGGAGGTGACCCCACCTCATTGAACAACTATCGACCAATCTCTAAACTCTACATTTCAATTCAATTCAATTCAGAAATACTTTATTAATCCCAGAGGTAAATTAAATGTTGTTGTAACTCATCATCCTGGTTTCATTAGAGTTGTTCTAGATGCTTATGGCTGAGGGCAGGAAGGATCTCTTGTAGTGGTTTGTCCTATAATGGATCTGAAGAAGCCTCTGACTGAAGACACTCTGTTGTATGACAGTATGATGAAGAGGATGCTGAGGGTTGACTA